TTAATAAACTCTGTAGTCTCTGGAGTTTTTTCTGGCACAACGACCAGTGATGCTCTCTGTCATCTTACCCTACTGGGGTACGAGGCTATGTGAAATGAGATAAGCTGCCAATGATAACAACAGTTCCGGCTGTCACAGCAGCTCCAGGGCTATCCAGGCTTCTCTGGCAAGACACCCAACAAGGGAGAGACTGCGTTAGGTCGGATTAGCTGGCAAATGCCTCTGCCAAGGGCAAGTGTAACATGTCTCTGGTTTCTTTAAAATAAAGTTACATCCACTTGTACAGTTACAGTTAAGATGCTATAAGGGTCCAAGACTGGGGCTCTCCTTTCAAAGCATTTGTAAGCCAACAACAAAGTCTATTTTGCCAGTTCTGTCCACAGACTTTCTACTCAAAGGTAAATAAGTGGTTGATATATATTTAAAGCAGAGTCCTTCCAGTAGAGCAGAGGGGCACTTACTAATAAATGGCATCACTAGATTATCAACTGAGGAATCAACTGCCATTCAAGGATCTCAAAAAGAATGGATCCCTATGGAAACTTAAAAAAAGAAGTAATTACAGATTTACTCCCTTCCCCAAGAACAAATACCAGTTTTCTTCCATTCAGGCAATGCAGTGCAACAAGTCAAGCCACGCTGACATATTACAGGTCCATCACAAGCAGGAAATGTTCTCTGCAAGGGAAACACCAGACCCAGACGAGGGACACTTGTGTCGCATTCCCGAGGGACTCTGCCCTTCCACTAATGTCTCTGCTTGCCAGAAGGAGGTTAGCAAGTGCCAGTAGGAGTTACCACCCCACACAATCACACCAATAGATATATTTAGTCATTGCAGTTCAAGGAAAACGATTGCTTATGCTCAAAATAAATTTGGCAATTGTTTCCAGCTTCAGCTTTTTCACCGACTGAGGCACAACCCAGCTGCTCCACATTCCTGGAGACTTCAGCTGTCCCTTTTTCCTTCCATTCCTTGCCCACTCCTTTCTTACAACCGCGGTGACCATCTCAGCCCTGCACCACTTATCCTGCAGGCTACATTGCTGAACGTTCCAGCTTTGAAGCTACGTGCTAGGACATCTGTCAAGCCTAGATCAGATGCCAGGTTAAGACATCTCAGATGTAGAACTTGCTTTGAAAATCACTGCTTTAGTAAAGTAGCACCATGCACTGGCCAAGTGCAAGGTTTCTGAGTAACGTGAGTCTCCACTTGCAAATGATAACAGAGTACAGTGGTCCAAGTACAGCTGAACCAAAATAAAGCAGTTCTGCCTAGTACCTCACCTAACCACCACTCAGAAAAAGGAAGGGAAAATGCAGAAAATTTTATGTAAAAAACACAGAGGATGACTTCTAGACTAATCAAATGATCAAGGGATGATCATTTGATGACTAAAGGCAGCTAAAAAGCTATTTTCCAAAATATATCATACTTTCAAAAACAAGATAACTGGAAAGTGCATCTTAATACAAAAACATTCACAGGTGCACAATTCAGAACGGTGTAAATCAGCACGGAGGACTCTGGACAAACAGGAAAGTTCCTCCACCGATGTGTATGATCAATTAGCCTTCTGCATTGCACTGGTCTTTTATTTTGCCATTCTCCTAGAATTACCAACATATGTTCATGCTAACAATTTCTTAAGGAGAGACGATTTTGCTTATCAGGAACCTGCTTATCATTAACTGGTGAAAACAACAGCATTTTCAGTCTTAGTCTGCTGGGAATAAATATATCCAGTTTTGTGGCAAGTTGGGTAGAGGTAACTGACAGTGCCCCAAGTAGCTAAACACTCAGCACAGCTGTCTCAAATAAGCTTAGCTTGTCTCAAAAAAACTCAACCAGGCTGCAAAAAAGCTTGCAAAGCAACTACAAAATTTGGGCAGAAAACATCAACTAGAAGAAACCTTCAAGGTATGGCATCCATGGGTTCTTTGGTTGTCATAAAAGGGATTCCTGAATGGACTTTCTTCATGGACGAGCTTTTGGTTTATACTTGTGTCTGACTGCTCCCTTAGTCTCCCTGAGCGATGCAGAGTTCAGCTCCTTGGAGCATGCAATCCATCAGGTAAATAAATATAGGAATTCATGTATTGCCATGGTAACAGGGAAACCAAGCCGTCTGCCGCCTTCTCCACTCTTTCTTGGCATCCTCATTTTGGATTACAGACCAGAACTGCAAGACTCACTGCACTGAGAACAATGATATTCCGAAAACAAAGACAAAAAGTCACAAACACAACAATTTCAAGCTACAGAAAACACAACATTGGATTCTATCCTTTCTGCTTAAGTCAAAGCGGGTTCTGCTTTCAAAATGTATCTGCAAGTTTCCTGAGTGAAGCTTAATGGAATAGGGAATTTAATACTAGTAAAACCCAAATATATTATCCTACTATACATTACCTGATGGCTCCCCTTCACTGCAACACGGTGCTCTGAATTACTCCATGGTGACTGTTGATTAAATAGCAGCACTGCAAGGCTCCAGAGGGACTCTCGTCCACCCTTTTTGGAAGACAGGTTGGTGGCTATTATCTATTATCATTTATTAGAGGTTTTTGTTAAGCACTGACGTGTGTTATTTAAGGACCCAGGGAGCAGCTGTATCTAAGATCTCCAAGGATCTACCCTTAAAAGATTATCCTTTTTTTTCCCTCAGGCTGACTGGATGGACATTTTCTTCTTCTGTAAGGAAAATGAGTCGAATCAAAGCCTAAACCATATAGGCTTTGGTTTACCATATAAACCATATACCTAATATAAACCATATACCATATGGTTTATAGACCATAAACCATATACCTATATAAACCATAAACCTAAATATCTGAAGATATTTAAGATCACTTGTTAGCAGCCAGTAGTCCACCTTGTTTATAACACAATGGGTCTTGCATATATTCCCTTTCCATAAGAACAAACACATACAAGTGCACACAAACAGGCGGACCTCTTAGACCTCACGGTATCTGTTTTATGATGCTATATCCTTTGTTCAGCAACTGCATGTATTTTGACTAATACTGTCCCAGATTTACGGCAGCATTATAGACTGTGTCTATTAGGTGATGCTATTAACCAACCTGTCAGTCACAAGTTCAAACACTCAAAAGGGGTGATCAAGCACATACTGTACTGAAACAGCTGGATTCCTCCTTCCTTCCCGTATCTCTTCCAGCTTACAGTCGGGCAGGATCTTTTTTTGTTTTTTTTAATACCCTTTTTGTGAGAAATGAAACTAAGAGCAGGTGAAAAAGGAAAATTTGTGGGATGCACAGTTACTATTAGTCAGCAAATCACCACTATGCTACACGTGCGCCACAGGAATCTCCTGAACGCTTCCGCACCAGGACTTGCCCATCGTATCCCACACCCCGCGCGTTCACAGCACCCACCTGGCACGGATCCTGTCCCAGGGCCCTGGGTGCCAAGGGAGGGTCTCTAGGCTCTGCGGAGCCCGCGTTTCACGTGGGATTTTGGGCCCTTCTGCTCTATTGTTTCTGGAAGAGCAGGGCATTTGTGTGCGTCTACAGGCACCTCCCCGCGTTCGAAGCCCTCGAGCTGCTCTGCTGGTGCTGAGCTATATTTACTACTCTCACAGGGTTATTTACTGCACACGAATAAACAAAATGTGATCACTTATTTATGCATCTGTAATTACCGTCTGCACCGCTACCAGCGTTTGCTAAAATCCCAAGCCAAATTCACCCCTAGCATAAACAAGTGTCATCTCTCGAAGCACTCACCCTTATTACACACTGCTTAACACCTCCTTTTACTCAGTTACCTGCTCCCAGGGTCCAAAGTCACAGCGAGACACCAAGAAACACTGCAGAGATAGAGGCAGCATCGCAAAGCAAAGCACGAGGCGGCCACACGACGCAAGGGATGGTCATTGACCTGTGATATTTCCGTGATTTCTGTGATATTCTGGAGGGATATTTGTCCTGGGCTCATGACCCAGCACTGAGAGCTGCAAAGGTCCCATGTCCTGCACTTCAGAGCAGTCTACCCCTTGAGGCCACCCCTGAACCATAATGCAAGAAAACGCATCACACACCACGCGGCCAGAGCAAAACAGGGTGGGATGATCAAAACCTGAGCACACTGCTACCAACTTTACCCTTTTGGGAAAAAGAAATAACAACAATAAAGGGATTCTTGGCTATATCCATGGCTGCTGCCCTGCAAAGCCTGAAGCCTGCACATCCCGACAGCAACTGAGGAAACCGGCCAGCAAGTCCTTACGCTAAGGGAACCACAAACAAAACATTGATTTCTATTTTTTTCCCCCTCTGCTAATTGAAAGCAACCTAATTAAACCGAGTAACTGCACCGCTTGATTTGCGAGGCACAAACTGAACCTCTACGCGTCCCGGGGTGAACAGCAAGGGCAGCCCCGAGTGACAGGGAGCTGGGGGTGCCGCAACGCGGGGTCTGCACCAAGGGGAACCGGGAAGGGGACGGGGGTGACATGGGGAGGGGACACGGGGGAGCCTATGAGGGGATACACGGTAATTGGGAAGGGGACACGGGGTAGAGACACGGGGGAGCCTGTGAGGGGATACGGGGGCATGGGGAGCCGGGAGGGGACACAGGGGAGCCAGAGGGGGGACACAGGGAGCTGGGAAGGGAACATGGTGAGCCGGGATGGGGATATTGGGAGCCGGGGGTCAGCCCGGCCCCCCAGCCCTGCCCGCGGCCTCCTCCCGCCACCCCGGGCCGGGCAGGAGCGGGGAGAAGTTGCCCAAGTTGCCACCGTCCGTGGCCGGGTAGGCCCCGAAGCGCCTCACGCCGCCCCAAAGAGCGGCGCGGCAGGCAGGGAGGGGAGGAAAAAATAGCAAAAAGGGGGAAATAAATAAAAAGGCGGAAGCCGGGGCCGGGCGGCGGCGCGGGCAGAGCATCCCCGGCCGGGCCCGCGCTGACAGGAGCCGCCGCGCGGCCGAGCGCGGCCGGCGGGGAAGGCGGCGATGGCGGCCGGCGCCCTCACCTGCTTTCTCGATCTTGCCGGACATGTCGGGGCCGCGGGCCGGCGCCGAGGCCCAGCCGCGCCCGCCGCCGCCTC